AGATAACTTTTAACACATTTTAATGCAAAAAAATTTTTGGTCGGAGTCCCCCTTTAAAGGAGGCCAGACACCGAAAAAAAGTTTCCCTGATATTTTGCATAGAGAACCCCCATGAGGGGTTGAACTCATGACAGGCAGCTCAGGGGTACAGCGCCGCTACCGGCTGAGCTACGGGGGCGCGAAGGCGCCTGACGACCGATGGTCTACATAAGAGCGGCGCGATTTCGTCCCCCGAACTGCCCCCGAATTTTTTCCTGTCTCGCCTCCTTTAAATTCTTCATTTGTGTACACACAAAAAATTGAACTAATTGTCAGACTCAGAAATTTTGAGTGGCAGAATATTCATGTCGAAAGAATTACTGTAAACCCGGACTAATTGTAAGCCTGGCTTGCCGAATTCTGAAAATTCTGGAAAAAATACCCCATCCCGTCTGCGACTCTTCGAAGCTTCAAATGACTTTATTGTCGGATTAAAAAAAGTGACACCTGAAAATCTCGGAGACGGCGCTCGTGTCGATTTACGAGGGGGCGGAGCGAAAACGGATACTGTAGATAACAAATTTATTTATGTGAATTTAGTGGGATTTTCTGAACAAAATTTTGACTTCTTAGTATAAAAATGATCGGTAGCATCTCTAGAATTTATTTTTCCGCAAAAAACTAAACTCAAACGCGAAAGTAGCTCGAACGAGCCGAAATTCTGAAATATTACGTTTTTGCCGCACTTTTTCGTAGATCAAAAAAAGCAAAAGTTTTCAAATTCTCATGTGTCACTTTCTTAATTCGACAATAACTCCGTCCACAGAAAGGCTAGAAAAGATTTTTGTACCGAAATTGATCCTTTTTCGAAAAGGTTTTATATTACTCATCTCAAAATTATAATTTTTACAATTTGGGACTTTAAAAATTATAATTTTATGAAAATTATAGTTTTTTTTCAGTAAAATCAAATACATCAAACACCGACAAAATCTGTCAAAAACTTAAATGAAACTGCATTTTGAATTTTTGGGATTTTCCCAAAAACAATCGTGCAAATCTTTGTGTTATCAGGTAATACTCAATCATCTGAAATGACTTCAATTTTCATTAATAATTAAGTGCCCTAAACATTTCTAATCTGTATTCCTGAGTAATTTGAAAATACTCCCATAAATTCTCTCATTGCGCGATTCTTTTCGAAATCGAGCTCAAACTTTTTTTTTCCCAGACACCTATGAGATTTTTCGATTTAGTTGAGTAAAGTGGCGCAACAGTGACCTGACGCAATATCCATCTACAATCTGCTTCCCAATTAAAATGTTGAATCTTTTGAATTTCCCATATTCCCAATGTACGCAACAACGAATACGTGTTTTTTTTGGTTTTTGAATAATAGGGTTTTTTAGATTTTCCAGCCCTCATCTGCCGGGCGGCCGCGGGAGAGCGGCTGGCGGCTCATTTTCTATCTAAATGAAAACTCTGTTCAGGAGATTGGCCAAGTTAGTTACCTTGAGTGTGTGTGTGTGTGTGTATTCAAGATTCTGCCAGATGGCGGCGGCGACGTGTCCTTTCCAGTATTTCTCCAGGGAATTCACACCTACAAGACCATACAACTCTTGTCAGTGATTTTCGAATGGATTGAGCAATAACTTGTTCAAATACTGGACTGTCACAGAATGATGGATAACTTTTTTCGTCAGATGGTGGAAAAGAATGGGGAAATTGAATACAGGGGCCAAAGATGAGGAGTTAAAGGCACAAAGATGATGAGTTCTGAACAGCAAAGTTCTTAAGATGTTGGATGTTATAAAATACAAAAAATTTGAAATTCCCTAATGTTGGTCTAATGCTGATTCTAATTATCTGAAAAAGAAAAAAAAAGCTTTTTTGTTACTGTATTCAAGCTTGGGTTACGGTAGCTCTAAAAATTTAGTTTTGAAAGCAGCAAGTGTTTCATACATCCATCTGAACCCTTTAAATTCTGAAGAGCTATATATCCTTCGGACGAAATATATTGTCGCAGAAATCTTCTTTCAGCCTTTTCAAATTTTATTTGCCTAAAGTGTCTGTACAGAATGCATGGGGTATGTAAATTGGCAATTTTCCAAGATTTTCGACAGTAACCCAAAAAATTGTCTCAAAGTTAAAGGTTAGAGGGGCCTTCTATTACAAGTTTTACGGTTTTTCACTCTCTTAAAATATGCCGTTCGTAACCAAAACTTTCATTGTAGGATGATTCCAGGTTAGTACAATTCCCAACTCATTCCAAAGCTCGTCTCTATGTATACCACACAGCCATCTGGCTGATGTCTCCATTCGGTATTTCCCAGACGTAAAGGCTTATTTTGGAGTTTCTAGTCACACCTTGCGTACATCTGTCTGTCCAACGCGAATGGGCGGAGCCATGGTGGGCGGAGTCTGTGTTGAGCAAACCGAACAAGGCAGAGGTATATAAGCCTTGGTTTGGCCTTCGATTAGGTAGCTATTCTTTCATTTAGAACCCTTTTCCCCAGTCCTATTTATTCATCGTTTTGACTACATATTTTGGTTTTTTTCAAAGGATTTATACTATTCTATTTTGATTGTCAGGCGAACCGACACCCACAATCAAGCTAAGTTATTCATAAGTTGAAATGATATTCAAAATTGTTAATTTAAAGAGGTTCGAAAAGTGTGGATAATCAGCGACACCTTAGGGATCGCGGGAAGATTCGTGGCCCGATTTCAACGCTGCTCAGCGAGACGACTCTGTGCATAGACGTCGCTGAATCAGTTATTTTTTCTGAAAATTACAAATCATCAAATGGTCAATATCAATACAAGCCTCATCGTTAGTTTCTTCATCATGGGGGTCCGTGTTTTTGGAAAGCCTTTTTAGGTTTGGGGATTTTCAAAAAGTTTCATGGTTATCATTGGGAGAAACCCCAAAAATCACGAACTTTTGATGAAAATTACAATATTTAGGACCATTCCAATTCTAGTATTGATGATCGATTCTGATCCCACTGGATAGCAAGCTATATGTGATTGAGAAAGTGAAGTTCCCGGGAATTCATCAAAAAATCGTTCCTACTGACCACTAAAATGTTACCTTTGCTGATTGACGTATTGCAAAACACACTAAATTTTTTCAGGCTTTCCATCACCGAGTGGACTTTGACACACTAGCAATAGCAATCGTATGTATCAGAATGGCTCTGACTGCTCACAAATTTAACCGTGCTACGTTTTTACCGGAAGGAGTCATGAGCAATTGGTTCAAACTCTTTGATGCTGATGTAAGAGACAGGCATCTGTTCGAAATGATCCGAGAAGTTTTAAGCCATCGGAAAGTCAAGAATGATGAAACAAGTAGACTGCACCGAGCGATTTTGTCAACCAAAAAATAAAATCAAATAACTTTCGAAATTTTCAGAGACAAGGATCCGGGTGGTATATGTACGATCCTCGCACAGAGCTGGTGTTAGAAGACTGCTATAAAAACAAGAAGAATTGCGAGGGTGACATTTGCAGACAAAAATTCCCAATCAATATCGAGAAAAGAACTCCAATTCGAGGGGAACGGCATTTGAAAAAGCGCTGTATCCAGTAAGTTTATACTGCTTGACCTTTATTTCACTGATTGCTGTTTTCAGGAGAATCGAAGCGGAAGACATCTATCGTTATGACGTCAAAGGAATCGCTGGAATGCGTTGCCATTTCTTTCCAATAACAAATCGAATGCTTACCTGAGTTTCTTGCCTCCATCGTGTTGTCCCAACCTTCAATTTCTACGACTTCTCTCTACTGGCCAACAAGACGACCTACTGAATAGACGTCATTGTTAAGACACCCGTATATCCTGAATACTGTAGATAAGGTGAAGAATGTCGCAAGAATCATCAAACTTCTACCACACTCTTGGAGCAATTGTGCGCGCGGTGTCGTATAATTTGTTTGAGTAAGATTCTATCTAATATAATTTTTCATCAATTTTTTTCCGTTTTTAGTTATCAACAGTTTGTGGAAAGCTCTCACACAACACATCAACCCATTGCTTAAAATCGACTGCAAAGTCAGAAGTCGTCGACATTGCCCACAGGCAAGCTGAGTTGTTCAGAGGTTAACGAGAGTTTTAAAACTTAATATTTACAGAGAACCTACAAATTCCAACTTTTCGTTCAACTGCGCTTTGTTCAAATCGATGGACTTTGTTACAAGGATTGGATGATCGATAAACTTTATCCTCTTCAACTCGCTGCATAGCAAGGTCACCTTCTGCATGGAGATCGCTATTCCATTTTGATTTTTTAAATTCAAATTTACTTCTTTTTATCTAGAAAGATAAAAATACTTTTGACGGCAAATTCTAAACCAGGAAATTATTTCAGATGATAGATTTTGATCCCACTGGATAGCAACTTGCTATTAGCAAGTCGACTTCCTAAATTGACGTCGCTACCACCAGTTGATTTTTATCAAAAATTATAAGTTCTACATTCAACGCCAAATGCTGCTTGTCTCCAAAAGCTTGTCTCCTTTGTGATTCCCACACCCTTCTGCATATGGTTCAAAGACTTCCTATCGGACCTTCTCGGTAAAAGTAAACTCTCACATTGATCTCACTCGTTTTATCATTCCATCCCGTGTTCCCCAAGGATCAGTTTCCGGTCCATTATTATTTCTAATTTTTCTCAATGACTTTCTCTTTTCGCTTCCTCCCTCCATCCATTTTTCGGTATTCGCCGATGACATTAAAGTTTTTCATAATTCCCCTCCTATCATTCAAAAGTCCATTGACATCATTTATACCTGGTCGGTTAAGAACTCTCTCCCTCTTGCCACTTCCAAAAAATCACTCCTTCGATTAGGCTCTCGAAATTCCCATCATAATTATACCATTGACGGCTTCTTTATTCTCCCGTCCTTCCAAATCAGAGACCTTGGCCTCACCACCGACCCGCTCCTTAAATTTGAACAACACATTCTCAAGAAAATCACCCTTGCCATGCTCCGATCCCACCAACGATGTACTTAGATCTTTCCAACAATCCGCTATTCTACGCTGCGCTTTTCGAAACTTATGTGTTACCGATCATCAAATACTGCTCTGCCGTCTACTCTCCACCCCCTTCTTCCAAGCTTTCTCTTAAATTAGAACGGCCTCTCAGCCACTTCTCCAAAATAGCCCTCCAAAAATGTAACATCCCCTTCTCTTCCTATGAAAATCGTCTCAAAATCCTAAACATGTTTCTCCATCCGCCATCGTCTCAGCTTTTTTACTTTTATAAATTAATTAGCGGTGCCTCTTATTTTCCCAATCTAGATTCACATGTTTCCATTTCCTCCTCGGCACGTCACCCCATGTTACTTATATGCCACCGTTTATTAAATTTAGGTTTAATGTGGTAATAATAAGGTCGTATAAAGGATACAGACACATACAACCGAGTGTGGCAACTCACACACACTCGGGAAGGGATCAAGCAATCAAGCAATAATATTACATGATAATTGAATTCGGGGAGAAAACGGGAGATCGAAATAAGGAATATTGGGAGATCAAGAGAGAATTTGAAATATAGAACATGATATGAGAAGTTAGCAACACAACCAAAACAACTAGTAGAACAAAAAAACAACTAAAAAAACTATAAATATTACACGATTATTACTCTTCGCCGTCCTCGTCATCTGCCTCTGCCTGGGACTGTAGACATCCTTGAGCTGTGGGAACATCAGTGAGATACCGCTGAAGTCCTGCCGCCGATCTCCATCTTCCTCTGCGTTGAATTTCCTACATTGAATGGCCGATTCTCCGCATGTGGTTGGCTCCTCCTCTTCTGAAGCAGTGATGAGTCGCTCCCGGCTTCCCGATCGCTGCCAGCATCTTTGTCGAGAGCGTCGAAATGGCTTGTTTCGAGAGTTTCTTCGAACCGTCCAGGTGTGAAAAGACGTATGGACACTTTCCTTTGGTTCGAAGTCTCCATCGGCACATCAAGATGTCCGCATCGCTGCCTGGCTCGTAGTTGAAAAACGACGATCTTCCAAGTCTCAACTGGTCATTCTTTGCCTTCTTTACATGCACCTCAATCATCCCGTCTTTCTGTGTTACTCCTGCCCACTTGATCTCAGCTGCTTCCGATGCTCTTAGCATGACATTGAACGATAGAATTGCCAGCAACGCATCTCGATCCCTCTCCGGACTATCTTCTTTCATTGCCAACAACGTGATCTTCTGCACATCCTCCATAGTCACCTTTACTACGTCTTTCTTTCCGACTTTCCTCTCTTCTTTTCGACTTGATGATGTCTGACACAAAAGACGCTCCGATGGCTGAAATGCCTTCATTTGCTGTTTGATAGGCAGCCGAGATCTTCGCCAAACTACTCCCGATTTGCTTAGCTCTGTCCAACAAGTATAACAGAAATGACGACTCATCCATTGGAAGCTTCTTCTGAGAAATTCACGAATTTCTCTTTTCGTTCTCTGCCTTGTAAGCGGCAGCTGTGGACGTAGCTTTGGCTTCGAACGGAATCACCTTGAGTCTCTCGATGTGGTGTTCAAACCCTTCTCCTGCCTTCTGCTTGAGCTCTTCGACGAACTGTCTTTTGGCTTCTTCTGAAATTCATATTTAATCTCTTATTCCTCTTATTTCTCTTTTTCTCTCTTTTTCTCTTTTCCCCGAGTGGCTGGGCATTACCTTTTCCATACGATTAATTCTTTTTCAGTGCGGAATTCGGAAAGCAGGCCATTTCTTGATGAGGAAGAAGAGGATAGTGCTGACAAGATCTAAACTGTTGGATCCGAATGTGATTAAGTCGTGGTGACTATGCTTCTTATGGATACTAAGGCTAATGATAAAGACGATGAAGACGAAATGTATGACGATGCTTCGATCAGTATTGCCAGTTTTGAATTTCACTGAATTATACAAATCGTTTAAATAAATTTATGGAAACCTCTTATTGAAAACAGAAGTGTAAAATTTTCGAAAAAAATCTAGTCATTTTGGAATTTAAAAAAATTGCCCGCTTTGGATGTCGGAAAAATATAGTAGAATGAATCGAACTGGAAATCAGCAAGTTTACTAAACAAAAATAGAGGTTTAATTTTGTAGTTGGCAACTTTTTTGTGCAAGTTTGCCAAAGATTCTGAAATGTTCAGATATATCCAACGAGGTCTACTATTTAGTTTTTTGAGACATCAAAAGTTGACCGTTTTCTTCTGAAGATGGGTAAAGTACTGAATTGTGAAAAATTAGTTCGTACTCAGTTTTCCTGTTGACACTATTTTCTAGAAAAAAAGATAACAAGAAATCATCTGTCAGTTCCCTCGGAAGTCAGGAAATCATTAGAATTTCGTGATTCGACATTTCCTTAAGATGCTCAAAATCGAAAAGATTTAATAAAAAATTTATCAAAATTCGAAAAACTTATTTAATTCCCAATAGGATTTCTGAGAAGTTACTGAATAGTCTGATGAGTTTTTCAAAATCTTTGTAGCAACTATCGTTGAACAATCTCCAAAAATATTCTCTGGTGTTTTCCATAAGTGAAGGATTTGGTACGATCCGCAAGCGGTTCCGATTTCAACAGTGCTAGCAGGTTCGCGAATATCTTCTTTCAGGTTTCAGGTGCGCTTTACACATTTCAATCCTCAAAAAACAAAAATTCGTGTTGTCACCAATTAGTCTTTTGTCTTCTTCCGAGTCGTTCACAAAACACTCATTTATGAGTCAGGATTGCCATCGTTGATTGGTTTTTCCCTACACTCTCCACTAATCCCATCTTTCTTACACATTCTCGCTTTTACATTCAACAGTCTAGAATTTTTTGTATACGAGCATTTTTTTCTCATAATATAATCAATGAATAAATTATACGAAGTGTTTATTTTCTCAGAGTTTCATGTGATACTGCACAGATTTATTCATGAATTCTGAACTTTTTTAGAAATTTTTTTGCAATGCTTAAAGGAGGCGAGACAGAAAAAAATTTCGAGGGACAGTTCGGGGGACGAAATCGCGCCGCGCCTATGTAGGCCGTCTGTCGGCAGGCGCCTTCGCGCCCCCGCAGCTCAGCCGGTAGCGGCGCTGTACCCCTGAGCTGCCTGTCATGAGTTCAACCCCTCATGGGGGTTCTCTATGCAAAACATTAGGCAAATTTTTTTTTGATGTCTGGCCTCCTTTAAGCAGCTCGAAGTAAAAAGTGAAAAAAAAATCTATTGGAAAATGTGAAAATTATTGAATTTTCTAAAAACTAAAATTCTGTAATTTTTCGAATTTCGGTATTTTTGAGTTTTTGAGTTTCTTGAGTTTTCGAGCATTTTTGTTTCACGTAATATTGGAGTGATGTTTGAATTTGCTGAAATTTTTGAGTTCCTAAAAATCTGAATATCCAGAAAGTTCTAAGTTTCATGAAATTTCTAAATTTCATTTTTTTGATGTTTTGTAATTTCGGCGTTTTTGAAAGCTTTCAGAACTTCTGTTGCTCAACTCGAAAAAATTGAAACTTTATAAGTTTTGAACACCCAGAAAGTTTGATTTCGGAATTTCTGAATTTCTGAATTTCTCGGAACTTTTTAATTTCTGGAATTTCGCTTTTGTGAAACTTCGGATTTAATGATTTTCAGAAGCCTAGAATCAAAATTTCCGGAATAGGTGAAAAAATTGTGCTATCTTAAATTCTCAGTGTTCCAAAATCTAAGTTTGCGGAATCTCAGAACTTCGAGCTTCGAACCCTAACCTCGAACCTTTAATTAAACTTCTTCTAATTTTAAAATTCTAGGTTCTTTGAAAATTTAAGATTTCCAAGTCTCAAAACAAGCGAACTGCAGTATCCCGAATTACATGTCTATTCTGAAATTCAGAATTTTACGAACCTTAAATATTTCTAAGCTTAACATCTTTCTCTTTATCCACAAAACTGTTTTAGCTTCCCAAAAAAAAGTTCTTCACCCGAAAAAAGTGCTTTTCCCATTTTCACCACAAGGCCGGCAATTGTCCGTTTCCGTCCCCCAGATTTTCTACTTTCCCACTATTTTTTTCTCACCTCGACGTCTTCTGGCTCTCAAATTCTGAAGAAGTCAAAAAAAAGGGGTTTTCCCACGTACTTTATCCGGGGATAAGTGGCATTGTGAGGTCCCTCTTTTGGAAAACTTGAAAAACTTTTTCGAGTTGTACACATAACTTATTACGACATCATAACTCACACGTCTTCTTCTTCTTCCTCTTTTTGGATTCCAGAAAAGACGTCTTCTTCTTTTTCTTCTTCTTTTTTTCCGAGGGTGTTGACAACATCGTCTCTTTCTTATTCAACAATCTTCGTCCCACCCCTCTTCTTCTTCTTTTTTGACACTAAATCAATTTTCGACTCCTCCTCATGGGGTCATGATCATGCAGAAAGCAAGAGACTTCAAATTTTGTAATTCGTTCCCATTTTTGAAAAATGTTATGACTAAATTTCATTTGGGTTACGGTAGCTCCTCACCGAAACATTTTTCATATTTTTTTTCTGAATCTGAAATCTCGGGATTCTCAGACGTCATTCCATTAGAAAGCCCTTCTAATACAGGCTTTACGGTGTTTGAAACTTTCAATAGTTATTTGGGAACTCGACAATATTTATCAAAATCAGGATTAAAAATACCAACTTATACATTTTTCTTAGTTAATTCCAAAAAATGAAGTCTAGAATTTTTCACTTTGTTTAAAAAATTCAGAGAATACTAAACAGAAATAGAGCTTCATTTTCGTGATTAACAAACTATTCTGCCGAAATCCGTTCTGATGAGATCTTTTGAAACCAAAAAAGTGCCGAAGACTAGCACTCAAGTGGAGTCACTGCTTTATCTCGTTCCGTTGGATTTCCACGGAAAAGTTTTCAACTACAAAAATGAAGCTCTATTTTTGTTTACTCTAATCTAAATTTTTCAGACAAATCGAAACATTCTGGAGTAATTTTTGACTAGAAGAAACTATATTTTTGAAAATCAGAACCGTATGCCTCTCTGTTTTCCTCAATTTGGGGTTATAAAATTTTTGGGTTTTTTAATTGAAACTTCTGGAAATTTAAAATATGAATATCTCAGATCTTCAGTGATCCAGTAGTATTTTAGAAAAAATGTACTTTTTAGTTTTTAAAACGGTTTTTAAAGTTTTCCAAATAATTTATTCTACCATTTTTCAACAAATTGTCATCCCTTTCTCCAGGATTTTAAAAATTATTGAAAGTCTTCAAATTTCGGAATTTCAAAACTTTGAAACTCTCTTTTTAGAGGCTGATCTAAACTCTATAGTTTCAGAATTCTTAATTCTACGAATTCTGGAATCTTGGAATTTCTGAATCTCTGAATTTCTGAATCTCATAATTTCAGAAACTGAGAATCTCAGAATCTTAAAAACTCAGAACCATTTTTAAATACCTAACCTAAAAAAGTGCGCCACGTGTCATAAATCTCCTTCCTTTTTTTCCTTCTCTCTCTCCCAACTCCTCCTTCATCCAATAAAATTGGCAAGTGCGTACTAATTCATTGTTAGAAAAAGAAGAAGCGTCCACTTTGACAAGTCCCCAAAAATCTCTCTGCGTCTCTCAATCTGTCACACTCTCTCATCCATATTTCTCAAGGCACCCATTAAAGTCTTCTTCTTCTGGAAGCTCCCGAAAGAAAGAAGAAGTTCGGAGGGCGTCGAAAAGTAGGCGGAGCTTCCCAAACGTTGTCGCTATATTTTTAGCACTTCTTCCTTTTTTGACATATTCAGAAGACGTAACGTCTTCTGGAGTAGAGAAATGAGGATCTTTTTGTTATTGTTGTCCTACTTGTCGAGGTCCATTGGCCTCAAAACTACCACTCTCATATATCACTTTTTCACATCTTTTTTGAATGACTGACTGACTTTTGGACTCCTTTTTTCTTGCTATAAACGTTTCATGATGGGTCCATTTTTCTCACTTTTTTATGTGAGTTGTCAGATTGAAATGGGAGATTTTTTAAAGGAGAGAAAAAAGGGGTTACTGTAGTTTCCTTGTTTTGAGCATCTGAATTTTTGAAAGTATTCCAAACTTCAAGAATCTAGTACAAAAAGTTTCGAAATTTCTGAGATTTTTTGGTTCAAGGATTAAAGCTCGGATTTCAAAAAAATCAATCTCTTTAGATTTCCAACAACTAAAACTTTACGATTTTTAATTCATGGCTAAAAATTGAAAACTTTTAGAAATTCAGATTTTTTCAATTCCAAAACGTCTACCTTATCTATTTTTTTCAATTTAACCTTTAACATAAAAGTCGGAAGAAGTTTTGAAATTGATGACGAAAATTGATAAAACATTTTCTGAAACGCGGGTTTCCAGAGAAAAGGTTTGCAAAGAAACAGTTGTAGCTAACGCGCCACTGAAATACTTCTTGCAGCTTGAATTTAAAAAAAACGAAAGTTCTGAAGTATTAAATGAATTCAATTTTTTTTAATCTGTAAAAAAATCTGAATTCCGAGAATTCGAGATTTTTAATTCTGAAAAGAGAATTCCAGGATTCTGACAGCTAGAGACTCCTACTAGAGCTCTGTCCAATGTATTTTTTGTGTCTTCTTCTGTCTTCTACCAAAAAATTCCACTAATCCCAACAACAACACTGTCCCCATTTTTCTTTTTCTTACTCCTCTTTCATCATTTTCTTGTACTTCTTTTTCTTTTTGCAACATTTGAGCCCTTTTTCTTTTTCCTATCTCTCCTCTTTTCCTATTCATATGTGACACTTTTTGAGCATGTGTAAAAAGAGTTTTGAAATGAAAAGAACATGTCAGTGTTCAAATTTTGTAAAACGTAAAACCACAAAAATTGCATGGTTCCTGATTTCTGAAATTTTTGAATTTCTGAATTTTTGAATTTCAGAATTTCTAAATTTCTGAATTTTTGAATTTCAGAATTTCTAAATTTCTGAATTTCTGAATTTCTGAATTTCTGAATTTCTGAATTTCTGAATTTCTGAATTTCTGAATTTCTGAATTTCTGAATTTCTGAATTTCTGAATTTCTGAATTTCTGAATTTCTGAATTTCTGAATTTCTGAATTTCTGAATTTCTGAATTTCTGAATTTCTGAATTTCTGAATTTCTGAATTTCTGAATTTCTGAATTTCTGAATTTCTGAATTTCTACATTTTCTGAATTTCTACATTTTCTGAATTTCTACATTTTTTAAATTACTACATTTTTTAAATTACTACTTTTTTCAAATTTCTGAAAACTTTCCATTTCGAAACTTGGAAGATAGTCTCATATAAACTCTCAAAAATCTATATATTTTTTACAACACAAATCTATTTGAAAACGAGAAGACAAATACATTTTATCTGTCTGTTCGCTTTTTTCTTTGCTCCCCGAGCAATATCTTCTTTTTTTTCGATTTTCTATTTTTTTTGTGTCTATTTTTTCTTTATGTGTTAAATGATGATGCTAGTTACACAGTGCGGATTTTGATTTTCTATTTTTATTAGCTCGTCGGATTTCAGTGTGATATTCGAAGATGTTGTAAAGTATGTCGTAAAATATTTTAAATATAACTTTTTGATGATGTTAGACTACATTTTTTGGAGGAGTTCGGATTTTTAGTTTTTGAACTTTTGGTATTTTTGTGAGGAATGGAAGAAACTGAATCATAAAATTTTCAAGAATTCAGGAATTTTCAAGAATTTAAGATCTTCCTGGTTTTAAAAAATTTTTAATTTATGAGAATTAATTATTAATAGGTCTCTGAATTTCTGTATTCGTAATTTTTAACTATTCTGAGCATTTTCAGATTTCAGCCAGATTTCAGAACTTTTTGAATCTTTCGATTTATTGAAATTCAGAATTTCTGAACTTTAAAATTTAAACGTTTCTGAGAACTTTGAGATTTCGAATTTCAGAGTATTTCGGATTTTAACTTTGAAACTTTGTTTTTCGATTTTTTTTTTCGAATTTCCGAACTTCAACCATTCTGAACTTTTCGCGATTGGATTTCACACTTTTCTGGGTTCATTGAAAATTTTTAGCTTTTATCGAATTTTTGGAATTTTTAGAATTTTAGAATTTCAGAATCTAAGACCCTCAGAATTTCAGAATTTCAGTATCTCAGAATCTCTTGAAAACCACAGATTTTAAAGATCCAAGTTTTTGGGAACTATCTCGGGATCCCTTCCCCTATTATCCGTCTCCATCCATTTACTTCATTATCCTTATCCTTCTAATTTTCCTTCTTTTCTCTTACTTTTCCTTGTTTACTCTCATTTCCTTAATCCATCCCATTTCCATTCTTTTCAATACTTCTACACAATCATCATGTCTTCTCTTATTTCAACCCAATTTCCGGAATATTCCAAAATGAATGAAATTAGTCCCCTTAGCAGGTTTTGTATGATGAGATGACGTCTTCGGAACTCTTCCATCATCAGAATGTTTCGTCGTGCCGCCGTCGAACATCTGCTCCAGAATCTCTTTCTACCTCTTTTGATATTCTTAAAATTCTCGGATTGCTCATCCGAACACGAATGCAAATGTGTTCTATTCAATTTCACTAGTGGAAACTTTCAATCGCCTGAATTTCCGGCACCGTTGGAAGGCGTACCATGTCTTTTTTATCATTTTCAGGTAATAATTTTTTTATTTTGACAGATTATGAACTTTGGAGTTTCTAAAATTCTTTGATTCTAAGATTTTGGAGTTCTGAAATTCTGAAAATTCTGACCCTCTAGAATTCTGAGATTCTGAGATTCAGAGATTCAGAGATTCAGAGATTCTGAGATTCAGAGATTCAGAGATTCAGAGATTCAGAGATTCAGAGATTCAGAGATTCAGAGATTCAGAGATTCTGAGATTCTGAGATTCTGAGATTCTGAGATTCTGAGATTCTGAGATTCTGAGATTCTGAGATTCTGAGATTCTGAGATTCTGAGATTCTGAGATTCTGAGATTCTGAGATTCTGAGATTCTGAGATTCTGAGATTCTTAGATTCTGAAACATAAAAATTCTTGATAAAAGGGAAAAACCGAAAAACCTGAAAACTCAAAAAAAAATGGTTGAATATCAGAAAAGTGAAATATCTAGAAATTTTGAATTTCTGAGATTTTGAAATTTCGGAAATTCTAAATTTTTCTCTGAAATCCGAAATCTGGAAATTCTCAAAATAGGCCAATATTAAAAAAACAAGGTTGGAGAATTTCGAATATGGTTTTGAAATTGTAATTGTAAGATTAGGATTCTGAATCTACTCGATTTCTAAGACTAATGTTTCAGAATTTCGGAATTTGGAAAATTTCGATTTTTCGATTCCTATTTTTTCTTCAGGCACCACCGGACCACATCGTTCGTCTAACTTTTGATGTCTTTCAATTACCACCACGGATTGGAGTGTAAGTACCGAAAATCTAAACTTCGATTTCAAAAAAAAAACTTCCAGTTGCTCGTCGTCAATTATGCTCTACGACCATACAATAGACGGGTTGATCGAATTCGGCGAAAGAGCCGATTTCGAATTTTGTGGCAAAGAAATCTCGTCTGGACGACAATTCTTTTCAAAGTGAGTCCAAAAAAAGGGTCCAAAAGAGGACAAAGAAAAAAAAAACTAACAAATTTTCGTCGCTTCAGAGAGCAGCACTTTCTTCTACAAATTACGAGTGCCAAGGAGGCGTCGCGCGGATTTCGGGGATCGTTTTTGGCGATTCCAAAGAAAAATTTCACAAGTGATGCCGTGGAAATGGCAGAGTGTAGTTATCGAGTTGAGAAACAAAAGGTATGGTCCGCCGTATGGGGGAGATTTTTTGGAATTTTTAGGAAATTCTATTATCGGTCCTTAATTTTAAGATAATTCATCTTGGTTCCCGTGAGAGATCTTCAAAAACGGTCAACTGAAAAATGTTAATCTTAATGTCAAAAATATTGTTAGCAACTTATTGATATCTTTTACAAGAGGCCAGAGTTTTCGTGATTGGAAACTTGACAGTCAAGCTCCAGACTTCTGGAAATGGTCAGAATCAACTGAAAAACTATGTTTTTGTATATCTTATTGACTGGTATTGTAAATTGGGTCAAAAGAGGCGATTATCGATTTCTGAATTTTTTAAAAAATATGGAATTTTGGGAAATCCAACAGCAAAATCACCAGTTTCTAGTACCTTTCAATTGGATGCATGAATTCGAAACTTTAAAACTTTTCCTGAATTTTTCTGAATGAAATTTTATTGAATCAATCCAGTTTTAATATTTTCCAGGCCATCATTTATTCTCCCCAATATCCCTACTACTATCCATCAAAAGTCAACTGCACCTATCATATTCCACAAAGAAAAGGGTTTCAGGTATGAACATTTATTTAGATTTTATTTTTTGCAATATGTTTTCACTTTCTTTATGAAATGTTTTCAATTTCAAAAAATTCTGAACTTTTTGAACGCCCTGAGAAACTTCCTGATAACAGTACAGTATAATTAAATATCGCGTTTTGACTATTTCAGTAGGAAAATAGTCAAATTTGAAATTCTAAAGGGGTGTTCATAATTTTTCGATTTGTCTGAAAATTTCAGACTACACTGAAAAAAGTAGAGTTTCATTTTTGTAGTTGACAACTTTATTGTACAAATACAACAAAACGAGCTAAGCGGTATTGAAGGGGCACAACTCTTGTTTCAGTGCTAAAACGACATATCTCATCAAAACGGAATTTAGCAATAAAAGTTGCCAACTACAAGAAAAAATCTCTTTTTTTTTTGTTCAGCATATTCTGAAACTTTCATTCAAATCGAAAAATTCTAGACTAATTTTCTAGGCAGATGAAACCCTTTCATCTCAATAGAGCCCATCTACTCATTTCGATTATTCCAGATTGTCATCAACTCGATCGTAATGGACATTGGCCGTGACGCGATCCTTCAAATTTTTGAATCTGTCGAGGGTAAATTCGAGAAGCGTCTCATCGAAATGGTGACGTCTGTGCAGAAATCAATTTACGTCTCGTCGACCTCCTCGCTTTTGATTTATTTCTCCGCCGGGAATAACGATGTTGAACGGGTTTGCGCATTTTTGTACTTTTTTAGGGTGACAGGAGACAGATGGAAGAAGAAGTGTTTTCGAAAAATATAGTATAGCTTTTAGATTTTTGCATGGAACCATTTTTGTGGAGGTCTGATGGATGGGGGATCTCGAACGAGTTAATGTCGTCTTTAAGATATAATTGAGCTCATAGAGCACGTAGTTGAAGAGAAATGGTACTTTGTCTAGTTAAAGCCAATTTATCTGGTTTTCTATGAAAGATATCAAAAAGTGGTCAACGGACAAAGTTTAAAGTGGCAAATATTTTGTTAGTTGACAACTTTTTGATACCTTTTACAGGATAAACTTGGCCAAAGCTTATCAAGAAAAAATTCCGAACCCTCACGGACCCATAAATCTAATTGGCAACTAATGTTGAGCATGAAAACAAACACAAAACGAAGGGAAAGTAGAGAATGACATCAAGATAGAAACATAAAGAAGATAAAAACACCCGTGGGATTTTGCTGACGACGTTTTTGGCTTTTCAGGCTAATTAGGAGACATCAGAAAACAGTTGTGAGCGATTTTAGAGCAAAACACATTTATCTGAAAGTGAAATTATGGGATAATTGAATAAGAAAACTATGTACATGAAAATTTCAAAAAACAAATCAAAAAGTAATCCCTAAACTGATGAAACCGCATAAAAAAAGCGAGCTTTTTCGAAGTGGTATCTGGTGGTCGAGCGGCGGAGCGATGAGTGAAAAAATCAACCATTTTTTCAAGAACACAGTCGGAAATCGAAAAAAAACATGAAAAATTCGAATGGGAAGTTTTCGCGGTCTGGCCGGAGACTAGAAAACACTCTCTCGGCCATTTGACCACCGGATACCAAAAATGCATATTCCATACACTTTCGATTTCCCCACCATTTTTGAAAATCGAAAAAAAATGTTCGGTCCAGACAAAGATCCGGAAAAAAGATCCGCTCTTCATGACATCAACGATGTTGATTGACAGCACTTGGAACGAATGTCTAAACTTTTTTTGATCTTTGGATGTAAATAAAACTAGGCGCTAATTGTAAGATTTCGAGGTTTTGATATTCAAAAATCTCAAAATGCTTAAATCGAAATTTCCGAAACCCATAAATTCATATATTTGAAATTTTCGAAAAAAATCTAGAAAATTCTGATCTTCCAAAAAATTCGGAACTTCGAAAAAACGAATATTCTATGCAAGTCTGAAATTCTGAAATTCCAAGATTAGTTGATGTTCCGAGTCTGGGGAAACCAGAATCCTAAAATTCTGAAAATTAAAGATTCCGATATTCCAGGATTCTAAGCCTCTAACATTGTAAGGTTCTGAAATTCTCAAATTATCCAATTTCCCTTCAACCCACTTACAAAATGTCAGATTAAACCCTAACTTTGGTAGTCCAACCCATTAAACCCATTTCCGTTTACAAAAACCTGATCCCCTACTCCAATAACTAAAAACATTGATGAGTTTTTTTCTTCTCTTGTTGTTGTGTCCTCCTTCAACCTAGTCCTGTCTCCTGAAGAGCCAATTTCTTTTTAGTCCTCCCCCAAAAAGATGGGGGGACCTCTTCTTCTACTTCAGAAGACGTTGTGTGTTGCAGGCTGTTGGCTTCGTAATCGAATTGCAGTACTCGAATGCGGTTTGGAGCCAATCTCCGGGTGAGTTGTCTTCTTCTTCTTCTTCTTCTTCTTCTTTTTCTTTTTTAGTTGAAGAAGAGCAAAAAGAAGAAAAAGAAAAAAGGGGCGGAGTCTTTCAAATTTTCCCCCCTCTTTTTTCTCTTGATTCTCCTCTCCTTAAGTCTTCTGTTGCCCTAAAATTTTTCATTTTCATCCCTCATTTTCTAAATCTTCAATTCCATTATAATATTTCTTGAGTCAAGAAAACTCAAAATATTCCAAAATTTCTGCCTCATCCACTTGCACCCAACCAGGGTGACCTAGTTTTTATGCTAAAAATTATACATGTGATTTTTATCATTCTTCTTGAACATGTCCACGGTAAGCCTATTTTGTTTGGGACGGTCTAGAAATGTTGGGGATGACCTAAAAATCTAATTTCGGCCCAGAAAAATTTAGTTTGGCTTAAGAAATATAGGTTTTTTTCGATTCCTTTTGAAGTATGGAAGTTAGATGTTTTTTATAAACTAGAATATTTTTTAACAGAAAAAATATCAGAGAATTTTTTGAAGTTTGATGATTTGAAGTGATCTTCAATTCACATAAAATTTGGTTTTTTGGCGGTTTTTCTCTTTTTTTTTTATAAATTTAATTTTCGAAAAAAAAATCTAGGTCATGAGGTAGAAAAACTAAAGATTTAGGTCGTGGCCCAGGAAAATCCAAAAATATATGCCACGAGCTAAAAATTGAAAACTAGGTCAAGAACTAAACATCAAAATCAAGAACTAAACATCAAAATCTGTTAAGAACAGTCAAGAACTAAACATCAAAATCTAGGTCACAACAAACGTTTTGAATCTAGGTCATGTTTTTGATTGTTAGGTCATGTTTTTGATCGTTTTGAATCTAGGCCTAAATATTAAGGTCTAGGCAATGACCTAGAAAACTAAAAATCTGGGGCAGAGCCTCGAAAATACTGAAAACCTAAAAATTAAAATTCCACAATTAGTTTTCCAAACTGCAGAAGCCGCGTCCGAGTGTCAGCTGAACGTGAATTCGGAAAATTTCAAAGAAGGACAACTGTCATCGGATAAAATCGGTCGATACGCATCTTCATCGCTACCCACAAAGTGTCAAATCGTTCTACAAGGGTATCCCAACGAGAAGATCAGTGTAAAGTTTACACATTTCAATTTGTATGTGCCGGATAATAAGAATGTCACAAAACGGTAAGTAAAAAAATTAAAAGAATGAATCTGCGTTCGGGTGGAATCGAACCCCCGTCGAACACAGGTCCTGGGCGCGCATACGCATAATGGATGGGCGACGGAGGACGCGCCGATGAATTGGGTACAGGGAAAGGACGCCGGTATGGGGCACACCGCCGCCGCAAAGCATCTCCTCGCCTGGCTTGCTGGCACTCGATGAAATGAACTAAAACGTTGGTTGCGGGTTCCTAGAAGTATCAGTTAAATTCTATTGTGATGTGGTTTTGTTCAGGTCTTCCGATTCCGTACTTTTCCTTTATTATTCCATATTCTTTTATATTTTGAACGACATATTACTGATTTTTCGAAACTCAATGTTTTGGTTTTGAAAAAGACTTATGGCAGTTTCCATTTAAATTTGATATGCAATAAAAACAGAAGAAAATGGGAAAAAATTCGTTAAAAATAGTTTTTTTTTCATTTGTTCAAAAAATGTCTCACTTTCACTTTTTTTGAAATTGCATGAAAAATTGAAAATTTTTATGATTTGCACTTTGTAATTACTGTATACTTACCAACTTACCTTTTACTCCACCTGAAAATACGATTTTTACAATAATTACAAAGTGGAATCAAAAAATCTCAATATCACCTATTTTGGCGAAAAACATAGCAATTAACGAGTGAAAGACATGTTTCTGCAAGATTTCAGCGATTTTTTATTCTGCCATAACTCTTTTTCACAAAAAACATCGAAGGAATAATCGAAAAACCAGAAATGTAGGCTCGAATTGACGAAAAATTGACAAAGTTGCCGGTGTGGATTTACGGTAAACAACGAGCGCATCCTGGATTTCGGAGTGTTGTAGTCGGCCTACCGTATCAGACCCATATCGCACATATCGCCCACCCACCCAGAATCCATCTAGGATACGCGCGCATTCGGAACACTCGATTCAGCCTCTCCCGCATCGCACACATATGAGACTCATCGCAGCTCGTTGTTCGCGATATGTGTCAAACGGACTTCTAGAGGATCGCATATGGATCGAGTCCTTTATGCGCATCATCGCCTAGGACCTGTGAATGCTTGGAAAGCATCCATGCTGACCATTACACCACGAACGCGGCTGCAGACACTACCACCGCAACGCATACACAATAGAGGGGGGAAAAAGAGAGAGAGAGGAGGAGAGAACGTAGAGAAAAAAACGGAAAACTTTTGCAGTTGCACAGAAGTGGACAACTTGTCAGCAGATGTTCGTGTCGGGTCTAGGCTCTCTAGAATCGATGAATGGTGTGGAAAACGGACGCCGCCGAATATAATGAGCAGTTCTAATCTGTTGCAGCTCGAATATAATACAAAGGTAGGTTTTTTTGAAGTTTTTTCCATAAAATTTTTATCCTTTTTTTAATCTTTAAACAGGGAGTCTGTAGTCCTAAACTTGCGTAATATCAGTACAAAATTTTAAGTTGATAGCTTTTGTTTGAAGCGAGTTACAGGCTCACAAAGTTGACTTTTGCAATGTGTTGATTTTCTAGTCCTCCAAAGCGATTCGGGAGAGCGCCAACGACGACATTGGATTCCGGCTGGAATACAAATTTCATACTGATTGGAATATGGGAAATATGAAAGCGAAGGTGGATAAGAGGAAAGGTAAGGATGGCCAAGAAATTTCTAGGCCATTTCGAATCTTTTTTTTTTCAGAATGTCGCTTCTCGTTTAACTCATCAGAACACACAAATGGAAAACTTTGGTCCGCGAATTATCCAGGATTATATCCCAGAAATGTGTATTGTGAATATATATTCCATGGACGAAACGATCAAGTTGTACATATTCATTTTGAATATTTTGATATTGAGGGTTTCAATCAGTAAGTTATTTATTTTTTGGTTCTTTTAAGAGCTTCGGGTCTTGGGTAGTTCGGAATATTCTAGCCTATAATTCTAGAATTTCCGCCATTCGAAAATAAAAAAATACGATCTTTCAATTTTCAAAACTTTCAGTTTTCAAATTACAGGGTGGCTGAAAAGTATTGAGACTTTGTTTAGACTCAATTTCTTGAAAACAGAAAACCTGATGACTATGACTGCTAGTTTTTGCGAATAATGATTATTTTTCTAGTTTACATTTAGAAGGAAAACCTTGAATACCTTAGTTTTACCTAGTTAGAACATCAAATGTGATGTAGAAATATGAGCGACTCGCCGCACCTTGTTTTTAGTACTTCATGATGTAACCGCAGATTGAACAAAGGTTGAAAGTTCATGCTTTCAATATAGTTGGAAGAACTCTTCTAGATAATGCTCCTAAAATTTTAGATACCTCGATAACCTCTATTTATAGATATGAGTGATATCATGCAACCGACCAAATGACTCAAAAATGGCTCAAATTTTCAATGTTCCAGTTCAAACAGATAGAGTCAACAAAATGTTTTGAAACTTCTCAAATTATCATTTGTGCACATTTGAACAATTTGACAGTGAAAATCTTTCAAGCGATCCGGGTTTTTATCAAGATATGCCCTTTCGAAAAAAGCTCATTTAGTACTGGCGGCGAGGCAAAAGTTGAGTTTGCGGTAATGCTCCTGCGGCCTACAAAATGACTTCAAATTGAAAATGAAAGTGTTTGAGACAACAATCGAGAGATGCACTATACATTCCATGTCTTTAAAGCTAAATTGGACTTGACCTTTTGACACAGTAAATGGTCAAAGATGACCAATTTTGTACTGAAAAAGTAGTCAAATTCAATCAAACTGGAATTGTGATCTTGTTACCAAAAGTAGATACATTCTAGTCATCAAAAAATCTTTAGAAGTCTTCCAGTTATCCAAAAACATCAATATTTCTAGAAGGAACCGGCTCGCGCCATTCCAGTGACTCCTTGAAAGTAGTCTCAATACTTTTCAGCCACCCTGTATAAATACTCTGTGAACTTTTCCAAATTCAATAAATTCCTTCTGATCAATTCTCAAGCTTCTGAGATTCTGAATTTCGGACAATTTTGGGTATTTGAAATTTTTTCGGATTCCAAACTTCTCGAATGTTCGAAATGCAAACAAATTGAGATTTCAAATTTACACAATTTTTGAAAATTCCGAGAATATTAAAATGTATAAAAAAGTATAATCTCAAGTTTTTTGGAATTTCAAGATTCTGTAATTCTGTTAATCTGGATTTCGGGAAATATTTCGAATTCTTCAAAACTTCGAATTCTCAGATTGTTTTTTGAAATTCAAACAGTTTTGAATTTTAAATTTACACAACTCTTGGAACTCAAGGATTTTTAAAATTATGAAAATTGAAATTTCGAAATTACTGGAATTTCGAATTTTCGAACGTACGGAAATTCTAAAATCATAAGATTTTAAGATTTTGATATTCCGAAATTCTGAGATTCTGAGAGTCCCCAATTTCAACATTTCGAAATACTGAAATTTTAATATTTTGGATTTCTAAAATTCTGAATATTCTGAAACTCTCTGATTTTGAGATTCCGAGATTCTGAGATTTTGAGAAATCGGGATTCTGACACGCTGATATTCTGAAATACTAAGATTCTGAAACTCCAAAATTTTCAGATGCGACGAAACAACCCAAAGTGACTACATCCTCTTCTCCAACTACCAAACCCACGATCGAACGAATCGTCGATTCTGTGGAAAGACCGCTCCAAAGGGACCAATTCTCTCGGAATCCAATTATTTTCGAATGATTTTTTCAACGAACGACATCTTCGATGCAACTGGATTCTATGCTCATTATCAGTTTATCACTCAAGAGAAATCTCAAATCAGTCGGGTTAAATTAACGATATCTTCTAGTCAAACTCCGTTCTCCGCAATCTTCTTTGTGATATTATTTTCTCTGTTTTTCATTATTTTTTAGGCATTTTCTGATGTTTATTTTCTTTTTCCAATGCATTCCATTCTTTTTTTTTCTTCACCATGACTAATTAGAATTCGATTTTTATTGTATTTCATCAATTTCACTTTTTGCAATATTTAGTTTAGTCAATAAATGGTTGTTTCTTATTATTAAAGTTCTTTGAATAGGTGAAAAATATAATAGGTGAGCTAGAATTAGAATTTTCAGAAAAATTAATGAAATAGTTTCTAAATTTTTTTTGAGAACTCTCGGAATTTCTAATTTTTTTGAAATTTATGAACTTTTGGAATTTTCGAGTTTTTTGAATTTCAAATGTTTTCGGAATTTCTAAATTTTTTTGAAATTTCAGAACTTCCTGAATAACAGACTTTCGACAGTTAAAATAAACGAGTATAGCCATACCAACAAGTACGTTTCCTTTTAATAGATTCTAATCTAAACCAGTCGTTCAAAACAGATCGAAATCTCCAAGAAGTGGTATAAAACCCATCGAATTGCCCCCGATAAACCACATTTCCATCTCCCCCTGATGTCTTACAGTACCTCCTACTATTTCATTCTTTCGTCGACGATCGGTTGCTCGCTGATCGTCGTCGCTTCATTGCTCACCCTCTACTCTATCTCTCTTGATATCCAACAATTTGAAATCGATATCAACAGTGATATGATTCACTTCAAGACTCGTGCCAATGATGTTTGGGACCGTATGGTCAAAGGAGAACAAACATCTCCATCCTTCGGAAGACACATCTTAGCCAAGAGAGCCGCGTATGCCACTGCTGGAGACGCTGCCCAATGCAATTGCGCAGCTCAAGCCTCCGGATGTCCAGCAGGACCACCAGGACCACCAGGACAAGATGGAGCACCAGGAGAGCCGGGAGAGGCAGGCAAGGACGGAGAAAGCGGACCAGCTGGAGCCGCCGACAGTTTCTTGGGTGCTGAAGGAAACTGCATCAAATGTGACGCCGGACCACCAGGACCTCCAGGACCGGATGGAAATGTTGGACCACCAGGACCAGCAGGACCAGCTGGAGCTGATGGAGACGCTGCTGGACCAGGACTTGCTGGAGCCCCAGGAGAGCCAGGGCCAGCTGGACCAGATGGGCAGCCAGGAGCACCAGGACCTGACGGACCTCCAGGAGCCGCTGGAACTACGAGCACTAACGAACCAGGACCACCAGGACCGCCAGGGCCGCCAGGACCTGCTGGACCAACTGGAGAGGATGCGGCTGCACCAGTTTCGCCAGCAGGACCAGCTGGGCCACCAGGGCCACCAGGAAAGGATGGAGGAGCTGGAGCACCAGGCGCACCAGGAGGGCCAGGAACTGATGGAGCACCAGGAGCTGATGCTGCCTATTGCCCATGCCCACCAAGAACTCCAGGATTGGGAGAGGAGCCAGCAGCAGCGCCAGAAGCTGCAGGAGGAGCCGATGCAACCAAGGCAGGATCCTACAGTGGAAGCGCCGTTCTTCGCCGCCGTGCTCGCTATTAATTTCTTTTCTTTTCCGATACATTTCAAATAAACTATTCTGCAAGCAAAACCTTTTTATAAATTAACAATCAAGCTATCATCTTTAAATCAATTTTCAAATCATTATCCTCTGATTTCCTCATCAAAACTTCTCCAAACTTTGCGACCAGTGTGAAGAATCCAAATCCAAATAGAATAATGGCAACTGAAATATATAGACTTTTTAAAACTGGAAAGTTTCGAGACACACCAGCTATGGAAATCAGCCACCAGGAAGGATTGGTAAGAAGAAAGCCAGTTAGAGATGCGATTTCCAAAATATAAATCAAAGCGGCAATGACTTGGCGATGAAGGTGAGAGCCGAGGAATGAGCCGATGGGAGCTGAAATTTTCAGAGTATACTAAATGAAAAAAGAGCTTCAATGTTGTATTAGTTGACAACTTTTCCATGCAAATTTTTTGTCCAAATGAGATATGCCACGTGGAACAAGAGAGTCCTCAGCGACGGCTCCAAAAAAAGGGGGTGGCGGCCCATTTGCCCATCTGGGGTGCGAAAAAGGAGGAACTCTCCCACTTGACATATCTCGTAAGAGCGTGTTTGCACAAAAAAGTTGTCAACTACAAAATTGGAGCCCTGTTTTTTTAGTATACTCTAACGTTTTCAGACAAATTGAAAAATTCTAGACTTAAAAAATTCTGGGACTTCAAAGTATCTTATTGAAAAAGTCTAAGTGTTCTCTTTTAGGCCCGGTACTGTAATTGTCCGTTAAGTAACGGGCTACAACCGAATATCAAACGAAATATAAAATTTTAATTTCGTACTGTAAGAGCTACTGTAAGAAAATCCCAAGCTCACCCATCGTGGCCACCACTGGAATCGTTACTGCAAAATACTTCCACGCCGTCTCCGATATATCTCCCATCATCACTCCTCGGTACCAAAATCCAAACACTGATACCACTCCTAAACACAGATGTCTTCTAATGTAAAACAGAAAATGACCTAGAAACCACCTTTCAATATCATCGTTGTGGGCGTAGCTGTTTTCTCACTGACTCTAAACAAAAGAGTGACAATGGAAAACATGCAAATATCAATTCCACTCCCAGCAAACGCATCAAAGACTCCGCCCACAATTCCGGTAACAAATAAAATGAATCCTTTCCAGAAACAGAATTCTGGAATTTTTACAAACGTTGGACGCTTTTTCTGAGCATTTAGAAGGCCAAGGGCGAAAGCGAAGGCGGTCCAAATAGAGACGAACATCATTTTCTTTTGGGCGCCTGTGAATAAAGGGTCGAACTGAAAAAAAAACTGATCTCAAAAGATTAGATAATCAGAAATTCAGAATTTCAGAAATTCAAAAAACCCCTACAAAATGAACACCAAATATGAAACCAGGAATTGCGCCAGCTATACCGAATAACACAGCCATTGCCTCAAACTTGACTTTCATAAAAATGACGCACACCAAGGATGACATCATTCCTGAAAAACAAAGGATTACTGTAGCCAGAGGGAACTGTATCATTTAAAAGTCATAAATTGGGAACTCTCGGCAAAGTAAAAAAAAAGTGGGAAGATATGGATCACACATTTTCGCTCAAAGCAACTTTGTTTCATGTGTGGGCCTGTTTGAATCTTCTCATCCTGCGTTGCACACATGAATGTTGAAGTTAAATCATTACTAGTGGCGATAAATGGGTAATGTATGATTACTATAAACAACAATCCAAGTGAGTTGACAAAGGCACTCAACCACCAGACGTCCCGAAACGTGAAATTAACGTTAAAAATGGGATGTTTTCGGCATGGATGTCTACCAAGGAGTGGAATATTGGGGCTGCCAGATAATGGTGTCACTTTTATGACCGATACCTATTTTTGTCAGGTGACATAACTCAGACTCCATGTGGATCTCCATTGGAGAGAAACACAAAGGTTTATTTTCAAAATCGAAATTCGCAACCTCATGCGGGAAGGAGAACGGAGACCGATCTCACTGGATACGGCTAAACGGTTCTGTCTTATCTACAGTATAGTCCAAATCTTGTACTGTCTAACTACCCCCTTACAGCCATTTCTACCGACATCTTGATTGAAAAAAATTCACTTCAAAGCATGATGTCAAAAATGGGTTGACCTGATTTTCAATGCGCTGTGACCGGATTTCTGGAAGGAAGGCATCCACAATTTGGTGGGACGTTGGCAGATAGTCACTGATAACAATGGTCATTATCTTCAATTTATCTGACATCGTTTTGACCGTTTTTATATCGAATGAATCTGACGCTAAAAATAGAAAGGACTTTCCGAACAACCTAATATATTTTATCGGTTAACAGATTTTTGATATCTCTACAGAATTTGAGATAATTGAGCTTTTAAGTTTAAAATCTCACCTATACTCTGACCCATCAATGAAAAATCTCTAGCGATCGTTGGATCTAAATGAAGCACTAGGGTCATCACAGGGAATGCAACGGCCCCGGCTCCTTCGGCAGTCATTCCAGCGACCAGGGCTCCAAAGATCATAGTAACCGGCATGTGCCAGTAATTTTGGTAAAGTGGAAAAACGTTGTACCGGAACGCAGTACACCACCATATTACCTGGAATTTCAGAATTTCTGCTGTTCAGAATTTTAGGACTTCAGAAATTTAGAATTTCAAAATTCAAAAATTCAAAATTTCAGAATCTCAAAATTTCAAAAAATCCCTAACATGAACAAAACAAAATGGTATCAGCACTGCAACAAATTTCCGATACTTGATAAGCAAATAATCTGCAACAGTTGGATTCTCAGGAAAATTATTGACTTTATCGGCATGCTTCTCGTCTAACTGTTGACCTTAAAATATTTGCAGTAGAGCGAATTGGTCAAAAAATTACCTTCCAATAAATACTTTTTGCACCATTTTAGAAAATTAGATTCTCGAGGAATAGTAGTATTTTCTTTATTATTATTTTCAGAATTAGACATATTTTTATCGAAAAATGATTACAAATGATAAGCTTAAATATAAAAATAGATTATCAGCTGGTGGATTTCCCAAATAAACGGGTTCTAAGCATCCTTCAGAATACACAATTATTTTGACGACGCCTGAAAGAGAAAATAGTCATTTGTCATCATTTTTTGTTTGGTATGTGATCATTTGATCTCTGGTATTGTACAGTGTAAAATGCGAGTAATAAATATCACTTTTGTTCCAGTTTTCGGCTTTTTTCTGCAAAAAACTATTTTTGCTATTAAAAAACTATGAATTTCGACAAATCGCTTCGAGTTCCTATACTATTTACAGATGTGCACCTTTAAAAAAATGACTACTGTACCTCGCCGCCAAATTTTTTCCTCGACAAATTCACCCAGTATTCTACTCATTTTCCAGCCCAAAAGTGAGCATCTTTCCCAAACTTTCGCCGAAAATAAATATTTCTAAATTGCAGAAAAATGATTTGGGAGATTCCGATAATAGGCGATTTTATCACGAAGCCGTTCAAAGCGGCGAAACTCTACGAATTCTACGATCGGCTCCACTTGTTCACCGTCTATCTTCTCGGCTTTTTCGTTCTACTCACCGGTGCCAAACAACATTTCGGCAATCCCATCGATTGTATGCTGCCGAAACAACACGATGGTCAATCTTTTTTTCTTTGAAAAAAACTAATTTTTGCTGAAAATTCTTGTAAAAAGGCTGAAAATGGGAGGATATCCGCTATTATAAAAATCAAGAACAGAATTTTTGTCAAAAGTGACAGAAATTTGCCGAAAATGACCTAAAATCGGCAGTTGCCATTCAGGAGTGGGCGTAGCTTAAGTCGGTGGCTAAATCCTAAAAGATGCATATATTTTCCGTAATTATACGAAAAAAAACTTGCTCCTTTAAGGATTTCGCTACCGGCTATAAGCTCCGCCCACCTTCGGATTTTCGGAAATTTTTTTTTGGCTTAACATTCTCATAAAATGGATCACAGCTCAAATTCTTTAAAAGTCTGCGAAAAATGACTGAAAATTAACTAAAAATGACCTTAAAAATCGGCGAAAAAGTTCACTTTTGCAATTATTTCCAGAACTCAAATCGTGGCGCGAGTACATCCACAACTTCTGCCTCTTCTACGGCACCTTCCGCTACGAAGTGACAAACGGAACGTCTTCATTCGGAAGCTATACAGCTGACGACGCCTCTGTCAACTATTATCAATGGGTTCCGTTCTTCTTCGCATTCCAAGTCTGCTGTTTCCTCCTTCCCTTCTGGTGTTGGGCCTATATGCAGAAGATGATTTGTAAATTATACTCCTTTAGGAAAAATCGTTTTTCTATTCAAATTTTCAGACATCGACATGGCTTTCATCGTCGACTACGCTGGGAAGATCAATAGCGAAAAGACATTCGAGAAAACGAAAGAAAAAGTGGATCGGCTGGTGGCGTATATGAATGATCACTTTAGATATCGGAGGGCTCACAAGATGGGATACTTCTCGTGGATCACGTTCAATTCGGCGTTTCCCAGTGTCTTGTACAGTCTTACAAAGTTCTTTTTCATCGCAAACGTCGTGGTGCAAGTGAATTTGGTGTGCAAATTCTTGGATGTCGATTCGTGGATGTGGGGTTTTGATGTAAGGAAGTTTTGAAATTCAGAGTGGCTTTGGTACCAAATGATAGATCTCGACAGAGCTCATCACAGTTATATCATTTGAGCCGGATTCTGGCCAGTCCGATAACATGTCGAAAAATGTGTTTGAACGACAAAATATCTGCTTGGTCGAAAATTCTCATTCAAGCCCAGGTTGCAGCATGTTACCGGTATGGAATCAGGTCTGAATGATAAAGGCGTGATGGGACCTGTCGAAATCTATTATTTGGTATCAAAACTGTCTGAATGTCTCGTTCTAGGGACAAGATATCAACCTGCCCGCCATCTGCCCGCTTGCAACTGGTTTCTAACAATTTTAAACATTCTCCCCGTTTGCAGCTCGTCCAAAAGTTCCTGGAGCCAACACAACGTACACCTGAATTCTACGCTTTCACCGACAAACAAAAATTCGCCGCAATCCTTCCGATGGTGCCTACAATCGATTCCAGTACTTCCCAATTCTCGTCGGATGTGAATATCAGCTACAGGAGTCGGTGAACAAATTTGTGAATCACAAAGCGCAATGCATCATTCCGATGAATGTGATCAACGAGAAAATATTCATTGGACTCTATTTTTGGCTTCTTTTGGTGAGAAAAATCAGATTTTTTTGTGCCTAAAAATCTATATTCTAGCTTACTGGTCTCTCTGTCATCGGAACAGTCAAATGGATTTTCCGTATTCGAAGCAGAAAAGCGAACGAGGTGATGATCTTCAAATTGATCAAAAAAGTGCTGGAAAACGAGCCGCACGACAGTAAGATGTTCGATTATCGCTTCAATTTCGTTCATGATTATCTCTGCGCCGACGGCATTCTTCTCATTTATTTTATGATGGACACGAATGGATTTTTGAAGACTGAAGAGGTCATTGGAGCGCTCTTCAGGAAATATGTTTCCGAGGCGGGCGCATTGCCGGTTCGTTATTTTCTTGAGATTTCGGAAACTTTTGACTCTAAATTTCCAGCCAAAAAATAACCTGAAATTCATTTTCCAGAATTTTCCATAGTTGCAAGCGGGCCGGGCCGGGCAGATGGCGGGCCTGTTTTTTTCGAAATTCCTCGAGAAATTTCTCGTGGTCATGTCTAAAGTACAAACTGCATTTGGCATGGAAAATTGATATTTTTTCTGGCCTTAATGGAAAGGAATTATCGAAATTTTCGTAATTTCCACCTAAATTTGAGCGTTTTTGATAGTTGATAATTAGACTTTTTTATTGATTTTCTGAAAATTCTGAAAAATCGAAAAATTTCAAAAAACTTGAAAAAAAAGTCTTTTCGAAAAATTCAAATTTCCTGCAGCCCTACGAAGCAACGATTGAGGACACCTATCAAGTGCTTCTAGAAGAACCGGACAAGGCCAGAGAAATTTTGATACTTCATGACACGGCTGGCGTCTCGAATTACGGTCCCGTTGAGCTCAAAAAAGCCTATATTCAAGCGGCCGACGCGTTTGTTCTAGTCTATTCGTCAGCGGATTATGAGTCATTCAACCGGGTGGATTTGTTGAAAAAATGGATTGATCGACAGTTTGGAAAGGATAAGAAGGAGGTTAGAAAAGACTGTGCGGTGAAACTGTGTGCAGCTTGCAATTGTGGCTCCGCCCACTTTTTCCTGGAAAAGTGGGCGGAGCCTAAAATAAAGATAATCCGTGCTCCACTGTAAAAAACAAAATGATGTCTTTAATACTCCGTTCACTTTTTCTGAAAAAAGAAGACTTTTCCAGGTGCCCATCGTAGTCCTAGCCAACATGCGGGATCGGCCGGCTACAGTAGACAGCGCATTCGCTAACAGTTGGGCGGCTCGAGAAAAAGTGAAACTATTCGAAGTGAGTGCGAAAGATCGTCAAAGTCTCGTCGACTTCATCCACTACGTTGGCCATCGACACTTCCATCCCACCAGTAAGGAAGCCACGCCCACTTTTGATCCTAATTTTTCTTTTTTTTTGCAGAAGAATCAAAATTCTCACTATCCAAAAAGCTGAAATCGGAGAAGTCTTCAAATCCAGCAATTTTAATGGATTTTTAAAACCTCCAGACTACAAACTACTATGTGATTTGCCATAATTATCGCGAAAGAAGTGCCTTCCTCTCCTTCCTATTGTGATAACTTTGCATAAGTTTAAATACCAAACAAATCTTTTAGGCACCCTAAATTTGAATCCTAAATTGTATACCAGTATTCAGTCAAACAAAAAAAATCAACGCAAAAACCAAAAATTTTCGAGAAAAAGCGTCAGGTTGTCAGGAACTCTATTATTTTCTTCTGTAATACAAATAATAATGATGATAATAATAATAAAGAAAAACGTTCAATAAAAGTCAATTTTTGAAGGAGGAGGCACCTAGAAGATTCTAGAAATGGAAAAAACGAAAATAAATTTCTAGAAAAATGAGATAAAAATAATAGGCAAGGCAAACAACAGAGAAATAGAACATGTTAGATTTGTGATTCTTTCGAGAAAATGTGAATGATGCAACAGATTTTTCCGCGGATTCAGATCTTGTGCTGTGGATCGAACCCGTAGTTGTTCAGTTCTGCAAAATTTGAAAAAAACATTTTGAAAATCAGAGAAAAAAAGCTCACCAGAATAGCCCTTGTTTAGTGAGCTTCCGCTGAGCGTTGGTGCAGTCTGAAACTGTGCGAAATGTGGGCGGGGCTTAGGAATTGAATTCAGATAATTTCGAATGTTTTCTATCGTTCGGAGTGGAAAATCAAAAATATCCAGATTTTTCGCCGGATTTCCGAAAGCTTTTTTCCATAGTTGCGAGCGGGCCGGCTGATAACTTGTCTCCAAAACGAGATATTCAGACGGTTTTGGTACCAAATGATAGATCTCGACAGAGCCAACCACGCCTTTATCATTTCAGCCGGATTCCGGTTTAACGAAATGCCGAAAAATGTGTTTGAGTGACAATTTTCGAACAATTTGACAAAAAATACGATTTATGTCATTCAAACACATTTTTCGACA